TGCACAAAACTGAGGCTGGAAATGGCAGTAAAACAACTCTTAAAGATCTCACACTTACCACCGGAAAGCATTTTTGCTTGCAAGGTGCCATGCGCTTCCATTGGCTGTCCTGCATGGCAAGTATAAAAAGATACCATTGATTGAAAGACTCTGTGGCTCAGGAAAAGTGGGTCAAGAGAGATGGGACCGGTTGGACATATATTCCTTTGAAGCTCATTTTATAGAGATATTAAAAAACATGTTCTCCCAATAATCAATATATATATCCTGGCTATTCCAGCACTACTTACAGTATCTCCAGTGGCTGCTTAAGGATGAACAGACTGTGATTATGTGCAGGTGGTTAGATTCTGTGCAGCAGCACTGGGAATTTGTCGGAAACACATGATTAATCCATCAGAGCTATTTTACACAATGCAGCCAACCCTTTTGCATTACTACTCTTTTGCATTTTAGTATTTAATGACTTCAGGCCTCACAGTATAAGGATTGATATTATGGTATAGTTAGGCCATGTTGTGTTTTGCTCATGTGTGACAGATTGGATACCAAATTGTGATTTTAATATTGATTTTATCTGATATTTATTATTTTATTCTAGAATGTTTAACTGGATATTCTTTCAGTGTTTTGAACTTGCTCTGATCTTTGGTTTCTGACTGTAATAAACATTAACTTGTAGTTAGCCACAGTGTGCAGGATGCACACCACAATAGTAATGGGGGATTTTGACTACCCTGACATCAACTGGGAGACAAACTCTGTACCTACTGGAAAACTAAACGGATTCCTGATGAACCTAGCACACAATTTTGTCTCCCAAAAGATAGAGAAGGGGACTAGAGAGTCAACCATACTGGACTTAATTCTCACTAACAGAGATGAAATGATAGAAGGGGTTGAAGTTACAGGAACCTGGGGGTGGGCGAGCAACCATGCAATGTTGGAATTTATTGCAAGCTCAGGCAATGGAGCAAAATCAAACTAGAGTCTTGAACTTTAAGAAAGCTGATTTCAACAAAGAGTGCTTGGGAAGGATTCCAGGGATGGAAATAATTAAGGGAAAAACAATTCAAGAAATTTGGGAAACTTTAAAAAGTGAAATTATAAAAACTTAGTCTAGCACAATACTACTGGTTGCACAAAAACCTTTCTGATAAAAGGACAAATATAAAAAGTAGGAAGAGGGGCATATAACTAAGGTAGAATATCAACAGATAACCTAAAACTGCAAAGATGAAAACTAAATGAAGGCTGGGAGGATCCTGGAAAAAGATAAGCAATGAATCTGCAAACACCTAGAGACAAACAAAGTTATAACCAAAAGTCTATATTTTGTCAAAAATAGATCAGACAAAACTTACTACACTTTTTGACAAAGTGTAGACCAGTGAAATGCTATAGACATAATTTACTTAGATTTTAGTAAGGCATTTGATAAAATAGACCACAATCCTTCTCTTTTGTAATATAGAAAAAATTGAGTTAGACAACATCATCAGATGAATTCATAAGTGGCTGACTAGCCGCACTCAATATGTAGTTGTTAATGGAACCCATATCTACATAGAGGGAAGTATGTAGGTACCTACAGTACCCAGTACTCTTCAATGTCTTCATAAATGATCTAAATGAGGGAATAGAAGGGGAACTCATCAAATTTGCAGACAACACTAAGCTGACAGGAATAGCCAACACTTCAAAAGATAAGGTCAAGTTCCAGAAGGAACTTAATAAACTTGAACACTGGGCTTTATCCAACAAAACGAAATCCATTGGTGAGAAAAGTAAGGTTTTACACTTAGGCAAAAAAACCCAAACGTACGAGTGTAAAATAGGTGGTACTTAGCTCAATAGTAGTAACTGTGAAAGGGATCTTGAAGTTGTAGTGCACAATCACTTAAATATGAGCCAGTAGTGTGCTGCAGCTGCCAAAAAAGCCAAAGTAGTTATATGCTGCATTAACAAAAAGATAGAATCAAGATCATGTGAAGTGTTAATATCATTTTATAAAGCCTTAATAAGACCACACATGGAATACTGCATCCAGTTTTGGTCATCAGAATATAAAAAAGATGTTTATTTTTATTTTTATTTTTTTGAGGGTGCAAGGAAGAGCAACAAAGACTGCTCTTAAGGGACTGCAAGGTAAAACATATGAAGAACATTTGCAGAAATTGGATATGTCTAGTCTAATGAAAAGAAGGACTAGGGGTAACATGATAGTAGTGTTCCAATATCTAAAGGCTGCCACAACCTATTCTCAAAAGTACCTTAAGGCAGGATAAGAATCAATGGATGGAAACTAATCAGGGAGAGATCCAACTTAGAAATAAGGAGAAATTTCCTAACAGTGAGAATAATGAATCAGTAAAACTGTTAGCTTTCAGAAATTATGGGTGTTCCATCACTGGAGATTTTTAAAGAAGAGATTGGACAACCATTTGTCTGAAATGGTACAGGATCTCCTGCTTGAACGGGGTTGGACTAAAAGACCTGAAAGGTCTTTCCAGTCCTGTAATTCTATTAAGTGAGGTTTGTATAAAGCCAAGTCCTAAACAGCTAATTGGAAGTTTAACTGTACCTCCATATAAGTAAGGTCTAGAAGTATTTTTTTATGATATAAACAGGGTGATTAAAGGATATGACCAGTTCACTTAATCCAGACATGTCAAACACAAGGGCCGGGGCCCGGATGCGGCCCGCGACGTGGTTTCATGTGGCCCGCAAAGCCATCCTGGAAACAGTGAGGGAATGGCCCCTGCTACCTTGGCCCTGGCCCAGGCCACCTGGGAGCCAATGTACAATTTTGTGGTGGCCATCTATATTGAAACGCATTCAGTCTTAGCTCCACAAGGCTGTCTGGAAACAGCAAGGGACCGGTCCCTGCTGCATTGGCCCTGTTCCCTGGGCACGTGCTGGGGAGGTGTCACCCTTTGTGAGGAATGAATAAATGCACCATCGCCTGGAAGTGGCCAGCAAATGGCCCTCGCCTACTTCACATATCCGGCTTGATGGACTCTGGGGGAGGGGTTTCAGCAGGCAGTTGGGACGCTGTCCTCACAGCGGCGAGAGGCTGAGCCAGGCGGCGTGAATCCAAAAAGAAGCGCGCCACTGCCCGATTTCAGCAGGCAGCAAGATGCAAAGTTGGCGAGCTTCGCACTGCCCAGCTCAGCCTCTTGGCGCTGTGAGGAGAGCGCCCCGCTGCCTGCCGAAACCGGGCAGACTGGGGGCTGGGTAGTGTCGGGCTTTTTTTCAGATTTGCGCTGCCTGGCTCAGCCTCTCGGCACTGTGAGGAGAGCGCCTCGCTGCCTGCCGAAACCAGGCAGGCTGGGGGCTGGATGGCA